GATAAGGGCCGGCGCCTTCTGAGAAGCAGCCTCCTTCCAAGAAGCCTTCCCCCACACCCCCTTGTGCGCGCCGCCAGAGATGGTGGGGCCTGTCCCAAGGTGGAGGCAGGGGCTCAGCTGGATGTGCACGTTTCCGTCTGCCAGGGGCCGCTTGGAACGGTTTCCTCAAGCCACACCTCTGCCGCTACGCTTCAATCGGGCCTGTCCCTCTACAGAAGGAATATATGTAAAAACAGTCAGTCGAAAAGTCGTAGAGGTACGTTTTTTTTTTTTTTTCCTATTCTTTCTTTCTTTGTTTGCTTTTTCTTTAACAGAACTATATCAACAAATAAATAAAAAAAAACACTATTTTCGAGTTGTTTTTTGTTTGGTGCTTGTTTGTGTGTGTGTGTGTGTGAGAGAGAGAGAGAGAGAGAGAAAGACAAGACAATTTTCAATTGCTCGTCCAAAATTCGCCCGTAGGCGGACATGCCCGACGTAACCCTGCGCCACCCTTGCGTCCCGCCGACGAGAGCTTGCCTCGGGCAGGCGGCCCTGGGGTGGAGGACCATTCGCCCTGACGCGTTTACGGAACGCTCTTATTCGGAGCGCTCCTTTCACGCCGCCCGGAGTGGCCGTTGCCCCCCCAAATGCATCTTGCAGGCCCTCCACTCGCAGGGCTCATTTCGACTTCTCCGATATGATTCGATTCGATTTCGATGACCTCCGATTCCGATTCGATTCGACTTCGGATTCCGATTTTGATTCCGATTTCTCAATGGAGGCCTACTAGTCTGCCGATTTCTGCCGATTCGACTTCTCCCGACGTGGCTTTCCACCGATCCGATTCATTTCGACCGCCGATCCGACTTTTCGATTCGATTCTGGGCTCTCCTGCACTCTTGTTAGAGGTTCCCGTTCTCGGTCCAGGACCTTCCAGGGAGCCTTCGGTCACCGAGAACAAACGAAGCCCTAACCCTAACAGCACGATGAAGACGTAGCCCAACTCGGATCCCCGTCCTTGCACTAGGGATGATAGTTCGGGGCGGTTTGGTATGATACACCTGCAGAAAGAGACCCCCCCCTATCCCTGATGCTTTGGGCCTCTCAACTTGTGTTCGCCCTCACAGGGCTAGAAGTTCTTTTATGTTTACTCATTCAGCAGCGTCCAGGCGGGCAACTTGGAAGACAGGGGCTGGCTGCGCGGACATTGGTGCGTGGGCCGCCCGCGAAAGGCCGCGCGTGCCGCGCTGGCGGCCTGCGCGACCCACCGCGTAAGGTCGCCACGTCGTCGTCCGTACGACGACTTCTGATTCCTCGCTCGGGTGGTTTCCGTGGAGCCTTCCACCAACCATCGGACCACCCCAACCCAGCCCCAAGGCCCCACTTGGCCCGTCGGGGAAGACTGCAAGCACACATGGGGAGCCCCAGGATTTGGGGCCTTCGGGGTGGGTTGGTGTGGTCTGGTAGGTCGTCAGGGCGCGCCCCGCGCCCACGCCCCCACCCTGACATCCTCGCGTTGGGAGCACACATCAGAGCGCGAGGCCTGCGGCCATCGTCGGCCTCTGTGGTCCCTCTGCCAGGCCAGGCCCCTGGGCCGTCAAGGAACGGCGCAGGATGAAAAGCGGGTCTTTGGCAAGGGGTTCGCGTCTCTGTGTGATTGGGTGGCATCGACGAGGAACGAACCGTGCGAAGTCACGTGGCGAGGCGACGCGCGACCCTCAGCGCACCCCGCTGCCGGCAGAACGGGCTGATCCTAGTGAGAGTTTCGAGGGCGCGGAGTTCCGCATGATGGGCAAATCCGAGCAGTTCAAAGGAGGGACGTGGCGCGACTTGTCATGTGTCTTCAGAGTTTATGCAGGAGCGATGCAGGGCCGGATGGTGAAGGAAATGGAGGCAGCGGCGTCATCTATAGACGGCCCGCAGCTGAGCGCATTGCTCGAGAGCAGCGACCCAGTGGCGAGATCCATGCAGTTGCATTGCTGGTTGATTCAGACGCGCCGCGGACGGGCGCACGACGTTGTCGTGAACGCTGCTGCCAATGAAGAAAAGGAAGTTTAGCGTCTTCTGAGCGCCAGGGACGAGACAGAAGCCAAGACGAGGTTCGCGGGCCAGCTCATGGGACTCCTGAGCCGTGATTTCACAGGCGACATCCTCGCGCCGTTCGAGGCATTCAAGCGGAGGGCGTCGCTGTGCGGGGGAAGTTCCAAGGAGAGGAGAGGGAGACGCGATCGCGATCATAATCGTCTGGCGGCAATTTCCAGATAGGCCGCTCAGGCAGCGTCTCATCATGGGCGCGGAGAGACTTCAGACTGGTGGCTTGGGCTGGGTTTTGCGAGGAGATGCAGGCCGCGCGGAGGGCGCGGATGGCGTTTCAGGTTTCGGCTGGAGGGCCCTCGCCGATGGAGCTGGGCGCGCTCGGCAAGACGAGGGCGCCCGAAGTGTCCGAAGGGCGACGGCGAGAAAGAGGGGTGCGCGATGCGCCGCCGCAAGGGCCGCGCCGCTAGGGATGGCCGGCGGGGGAGACTGGCGATCCGCGGGGCCCCGAAGGCAAGAGAGGTCAAGGCAAGGCCCCCGAAGGCAGAGGAGCTCCCAAAGGTGGCGCAGCCACAGGCAAAAGGTCCGACGTGCCGAGGGCGCGGCGAACCAGGTCACAGGCAGGCGGGGTGCCCCGAGGTCACGGGCGGGGGCGCGAACAGCCTCGCGAGCGAAACTGCTGGAGAGCTAGAGTCTGGGAAGCCGCGGCGAGATCTGTTCCTGGCGGCCCTCTCGACGGCGGGCGCGTCGATGGGTGGTCGGGCTTCTCGCCGAGCGTCGCGTCCATGTGGAGGTCGTGGCTTGAGGTTTGAAGCTGACTGATGCGAGTGTGGTGTTCAGCTTTGATGGCGGAGCAGCTCGGGTGGTCACCCTCCCAGACCAGTGCCGGGGCAACGTGGTGGAAGAGAGCTAGATGAGCCGCGCGGGCGATGTCTGCGCGTCGGCGGACGGCGGCTGGGTCCCGGACCAGGGCGCGCGCGCCATCGCGAGTGAGGTTGCGAGCGCGAGCGGGGGTCAGGCCTTGGTGGGCACCAGGTGCCACGTTGCGCCGGCGTCGAAGCCGCTGATGCCCGTGGGCGAGATGGCGGGCGCCAGCGACAGAGTCGTGCTCGAGTCTGGGGGGCCCTGCTGCGGGGATGTCGGCGCGGGTGGGCGGTGCGAGCTCTTGAGGAAGAACGGTGGCTTCGAGTTGATGGTAGATGTGCTACCTGCTTCGGGGAGTGTGTCGGCGTCTATTCGCTGGCAGACTGCGAGGCCGCGGGGCCGCCGGAGCTGTGCCCCATTGACTTTTGACGTGGAGATCGAGGAGGGCCGGGCCTGCCAGGACGGCGGGCGGCTCGACGCGGTGGAGGAGTCGGAGTTCACCGCGCGAGCCGTTGAAGGGCGAGCTGCCGGAGCAGGTGGCGAAGTTGCTGGAGGAGCTGAAGTGCCCCTTCCACAAGAGCCGCTGGCAGTCGCGGCGGCCCGACCGAGAGTGAAGGGGCGTGGAGGGCGCCGAACTAGCCGACGGAGCAGGAGCGGCTCGACTGCGCGGCGAGCCGCGCGTAGTGCCGAGCCTCGTGCAGGCGCCGCGCAGCAGGGCGCGGCTGGATTGAGCCGCGCCAAGTGCACTCCCGCGGGAGGGTGGGGCCGATCCCGTATGCTGGCGATCGATTGCGGCTGCCTGCAGGCGGAGAATTGGGGGGCATGGGCCCAGGCGCGGTGGGCAGCTCCCCCCTGGCCCCGAGGAGCATCGAGGCGCGGTGGGCGGCCGCGCAGGTGCTTCTGGGCAAGGGGGTGCAGCGCGAGTGCAACGTGGAGGTGTTGGTGGAGATGTGCCTAGTGACGGGCCCCTCCAAGTTCGAGCTGAAGAGTGACTCGCAGAGAGCGATCGCGGCGCCCACGGGGGGCGCGTCGAAGGTGTCCCGATGACAAATGGGGTCCAGGCGGGGCTCGAGGACCCCCCGGTCGAGCGGGCTGGCCGATGGGGCGGTTCGGGACATCGAGGGTCTCGTGAGGGCGCTCGGGCGCCCCGCCGAGGAGCTCCCTGGCGTGGCGTTTGGACCGACGCGCGCGAGCTTGCCGTGGGCGGGGAGACGTGCTGGCGCGCTGCGCGACGGGCCAGGCCGACGCCAACGGAAGTTTTTCTTTGAGTTTGTGAAGGGCCGACCGTTCAGGAGGGCGTCGCCGACGTTCGGGGGGCGGGCGTTCTACCTGCCGACTAGCAAAATGGCGTCGGAGCTGCCAGACCAGCGACAGGAGAGTATCTTCCTGGGCATGGCGAGCAGGGTCGACAAGATCTGCGTGGGGGCGACCGCTAGTGATGTGCGGGCGATATCGTTCAAGAGAATGCGGGCGTTGTCGTTGGGGGCAAGGTCCTGTTCGGGCAGCTCAGGGGTGCGCCGTTGGCTCCAGTGCCGGGGGCGATTGGCGATGCAGGGCTGGCGCCCCCAGCTGGCGTGGGGGTCGCGGCGTGCGCGGTTGCCCCGGATGCGGGCCCGCCGCCGGTGTTTCGGTGAGAGGAAGAGATGCGGTCGAGCTGCAGGGGCGCGGTCTCGGGGTTGCAAGGCTTCTTGAGCGCGGCGCTGGGCGCCGAGGCCGCGGTGCATTCGGGCGCCTGCAGGGCGAGGCGAGGATCGAGGATGCCATGGGGGCGACGCGCGGATGGGCGGAGGGGTATCGAGCTTGCGCTGGAGGGCGGAAGCCGGAGGAGATCTCGCGCGCGATCCTGAAGAGGAAAGCTCGGCGGGGGCGCGCCTTCGAGGACCAGCTGAAGCGGTTTGCGGCGGAAGCTCGTCGCCAGTCTCCGGTCCTCAGGGGCCTGGGGGCGGATGTGGACCAACGGGGGGCGACCGGGTGAAGTTGCCCCCTGTGGCGGCCGAGGGGGTCGGGGTGCTGCTTGCCCAGCTTGGGCATCGGGGCAAGCTGAAGGACGCCAGGGGCGATGCCGCCGAGGTTCTACCCAAGTGAGTTCTGCGTGTTGGCGCCGGTCCGCGACTTGGGGCCAGGGGTCGCGATGGACCTCGGGACGGACTGGGGCTCCGCGAAGGCGGCGGGCCGCAGGGGGCCTGCGAGGAGGTGGGGCTCGGCGAGGTGGCGTTCGCGTGCTCGGCGGTCTGCGGCCCGTTCAGCCAGACGATGACGATGAACGAGTGCAGGGGTGGCCAGATGTGCCAGAGCGCGCTGGCCGAAGCCGGGATCTTCCCAGATTTTGCGATGGCGCTGTGCGCGCTGCAGGCCAAGGCGGGGCGCTGCTTCTTTCGCGGGCATCCCTGGGGTGTCTTGTCATGGAAAAGGCAGCGGTGCAGTGGGTTGGCGCGCGATGGAGTCGACGTGGCGGTCGATGGGGCGTCGTGTGGATTCGGCCGCGTAGCGAAGCGCGCCGGCGGCTCGACTGGCCAGGTTGCGAAACCTACCGGCAGGGTGATCGGCGACAGGAGTGGCCGGGAGAGTCGGAGTCCCACGTGCAGGAGGGCGCGCGCGCGTGGAGTTATTGGACGGCGAAGCGAAGGCTACCCGCAGCAGGTGCCCGACGAAGATAGTGATGGAGATCCCGAAGGGGATCAGGGGCGAGCTCGGCGTGGGTTGGGCCTCGACGCGCGCTCGATCGGCGCGGCGGCCGAGGGGCTGGGGGCGCTGGGCTGCATCGCGAAGGCCGAGGCGGCGGATTGCTGCGATGGCATCGCGGGCGCGATGTTCGACGCGGGGGCCGCGCGACAGGGGCGCCAGGAGGAGATGGGCAACGTGGAGAGGCTGGGCGTCTTCGGGCGGGTCCTGGTCTCGAAGTGCTACGGGGTGGCGGGCGAGAGGCCGCTGCCGGGCGGGTGGGCGGGCGCGAGCATGGGCGCCTCGGACGCGCCGGTGACCAGGTGCGTGCTGGTCGCCGACGAGACGAAGGGGCTGTCCGCCCTGGGCCCGGACGACGCCGCAGCGGCGTATGCGGCGATCCTTCCGCTGGAGGGTGTCGGGCTGAGGCTGCTGATCGGCCCAGCGATGGGCAATCGATCGAGCAGGGCGTTGATGTTCAGAGGCGTCGGCCGGGCGCGCTTACATTCGCAGCTAAGTGGGGGGGTCTTCGTGGATGTGCCGGAGGAGGATTTGAAATGCGAGCCTGGGTTGGGCTGGCTATTTGGCAGGGCGGCGCGCGAACTCATGGATGCTTGATTGAGCCGCTGTCTACATGAGGGTGGAGCGAAGCATGGGGGGCCTCGGAGCGATGCATGGGGAGTTCTCCCCCTGCGTGTGCGGGAAGGGCTCGCTAGCCACGCGGCGGCATGGCGACCTCTCCGCTGTTCTGGGAGACCGCAGGTGGACCGGGGAATCCGCGGGGAGCTTGGCGAGAAGCTGACCGTGAAGGTACGGGGCCTACTTGGACCTGGGCCGTGGAACTGGGGCTCCGGCGAGACCGTGGTGTTCAACTGGGTCGTCAGGTGGTGCAGAAACGATGGGGTCCAGCAAGTGCGCATTGAGTTCGAGGCCGACCCCAGACTGGGTGGGATAGCACCCGCAGCGCCGCAAACATGTCGTTTTCCGTTGCTCAGCGACGCAGGCGAGCGCCAACGCGGGTGAACAGTCGGCGAGGGTGGGGGGGGGGGGCTTCGGGACAGGACCGCCAGGTGTCCCGCGATGGCCCAGGAGGAGACCTCCAAGACGCCAAAGGTGGCCTCCAGGATGGCCCTGAAGCGCTTCCCAAAAGGGCCCCAAGTCAGCCCGGAGAGGCCCCTGAGACGGCTTCCGACGGCTTCCGACGGACCAGGAACGCCCTCAGAAGGCCGCGTAACCTCCCAAGGGACCTCCAAAGCGCCCCCGCGAGGCTGCGCGCATTTTGTTTTCTGGGGGGGTCAGCGGCGAGGGCGAGCGCCAGCGAGGTCGAACAGTTGGCGGGCCGCGCCGGGCAGGAGCGCGCCAGACAAGCGGAGAGGAAGAGGAGGGCCGCGGGGCCCCCAGGATCAGAAAGTCCTCGCCGCGAGGTGAGCGCAGGCAACCGCTGGCACCGAAGCTGGTGCCTTGGAAGGTGACTGGCCAGTGCGCCAGTAGCCGCAGGGCGGAAGGGAGCCGCGCTGCAAGCATGCAGCGGGGGGTTGTCCGCGACTTGGCCCGCTCGGCTGCTCCGCAGGCGGTCGCCCTCGGCGCGGTTCGGTCCGGGTCGGGATCGGTTGCTTGCGCAGAAGGCATCCATGCGCCACCGCCGTGCCAGGCCAGGGCCACCTAGGGCCCCGGGATGGTGTCTAGACCCTCCTGGCCGAGGCCAGGAGGGCGCATGCACCGTGCCAGGGCCAGGAAGGCCCTGGCCTGGCACGGTGGTGGCGCATAGATGCCTTCGTCGGATTGCTGCGCCGCCGCGTCCTTCTCGGCTTACGTCGGGCGTGTCTCTTTACAAGAAGAGCATCCAAACATAGTCAAACACAGTCAGAGTGTTTTTTTTGTCTTTCTGTCCTTCCCCTTTTTAATTTATCTTCTTCCTTCGCATTATTACTCTGTTCCGATTCTCATCACTATTATTATTAGTAGTGTCATTAATTTTATTATCATTGTTGTGATTATGCATTATTATTATTGTATATTTTTAATTGCACTTTTCATTATATTTCAATTCTAATTATATTGTACTTATTGTTATTCTTATGATTGTTATTTATATTGCTATTATTTTCGTTATTATTATTGCTTTCATTATTATATTTATTGTCATTATTAGTCTGTTTAGTATTATTTTTATGTGCATTAGCAGTATTCTTAGTATTAGTACTATTATTATTACGACTACTATTGTTAGTATCATTATAATTATTAGCACTATTACTATTACTACTATTCTTATTATTATTCTTATTCTTATTCTTTTTCTTATTCTTATTCTTATTCTTATTCTTATTCTTATTCTTATTCTTATTCTTATTCTTATTCTTATTCTTATTAGTATTCTTATTCTTATTAGTATTCTTATTCTTATTCTTATTCTTATTCTTATTCTTATTCTTATTCTTATTCTTATTCTTATTCTTATTCTTATTCTTATTCTTATTCTTATTCTTATTCTTATTCTTATTCTTATTCTTATTCTTATTCTTATTATGTTCAAGCAATGTGCGTCTCTGTTTTTTTCCCCCCCGATTTTGGGGGTGCTTGTTAATTATTTGTCTGTCCAAAAACAGCCTGTCGGGGGGGACGTGCCCGACCTAATTCTCGGCCGCCTTCGGCCCGTCGGCCTCGGTCGGCGCAGGGTTCGCCCGGCGGCCTGGTCGGATTTTTCGGCCGTGCGCTCGCCGCCGACGCCCCCGCGCGCGACGGCCGGGGTGGGGAGCCCTCTGCCGCGGGCGGCTGCATGCCGAGGAGCGGTCTGCTACGAGTTGCCTTAGAAGTCGGGCACGTCCCTCCACAGGAGGAGTATTCAAACATAGTTCAAAAGTCGTCGGGAGACGATTTTCCGACCACTTTGTACTATTTTCGCGTATTTTTCGACTAATCATTTTATGTTTCGCCCAGAACCCGCCCGCAGGGGGACGTGCCCGACCAAAGAGCTGGCCCCCTCCCCCCCGCCCCCCCCCTCCGCCAGCGCCAGCCCAGGGCTCGGAGAAAGGGAGAGCAAGAGCGGGCCCGCAGGCGCGGCTGGCCTCGGCCGTGCCTCCCGCCCCTGGGGCGCGGTAGGCAGACCAGCCTGCCGTCGGCGTCGCCCAGGCACGCTGATGCCACGCGCGCGTCGCCCCCCAACGGGTGAGGCGCGCGCGCGCGCCGAGAAATGTTTTGCAGTGCGTCGCTCGGTGGCGGGCGCTCTCTGGCCCCACCCGCTCGGGAAACGACCGATTGCAAGATGGCTGTGCTGTATCTTCGGGTCGGGCGCACGCCTCCGAGGACGACGCGCAGTACTAGTATGCCTGACTGCGTCCCATGCCCGCTCGCTCTCCCCTGAGAGCCGACGTCGCGACAAAGCCGCAACATCGCGGGAAATCACGGCTGGAGCCGCAGACCCCCACCTTCCCGCGGCCCTTCCCGAGCCGGACCGGCCTGTCACAGTGCCCCCGGGGCCCGGAGCCGGGCGCAAACGATCAGCGCGAAGCCATTGGCAACGCCCAGATCTCGGGGCTCTGCGACCACCTGCGAGCCCTGCCGTCCCCCCACAGGTCCAGTCGGCGCTGGGGTATCGGATCCCCAGGCCCCCGCTGGGGTGCGCTCGGCTGCAGACCTCCTGCCTTTCTCGAGCCCCAGCCGGTTCTTCGGGAATCTGACCTGCAGGGATGGGGTTCACACGTGGTTGCCTCCGGGTCTCTCTCCCCGGACGTGATTTTTCACAACGTCGACCTCTAGAAGTCCGGACCCCTTCCCCGGGACCCGTTTCTCATCCGGAGTCTTTCTTTGGCGGTCCCGAGGCCCGACCAAGGCCCCCTGGAGGCCGAAACTGGCGAAAAGCCTCTCGTCGTAATGTTCTCACAGCGCGAGGGGATCTGGACCCCTCCCCTCGAATGCAACTCCTGGGAGGTAAAATTCTGATTTTGCCCTGGTCCGAAATCTGGATTAATCCTGCTGAATCCCGCTAAATCTGGCTTGATCCCGCTGAATCCCGTTTAATCCGGCTTAATCCGAGGCCCACTCCGGCGTAACAGCCCCCCCATGGGGCTTAATCCTCTTTAATCCTTCCGACGATAACCTCCCAGTAGTTGCCTCCTGACCTCCCCTCTCCTGCGACCGCGCCGTCGGCAGCTGCGCCACGCTCCTCCCCCTGGGCCCAGTGGCGCGCGGGAGGGGGCCGCAGGCCGGGCCGCCCGCTTCCGCCCAGCGCCGGGTGGCGGCGCCCTCGTCACGCTGGCACCGGCTCCTGGCCGGGGCCGTCCCTGGTCGGACAATGGGGGGCTCCTCGTCCTCCTCCTCCCTCCTCCCTCCTCCCTCCTCCCTCCTCCCTCCTCCCTCCTCCCTCCTTCTCCTCCTCCTCCTCCTCCTCCTCCTCCTCCTCCTCCTCCTCCTCCTCCTCCTCCTCCTCCTCCCCCTCCCCATCCTTGTCCTCCTCCTCCTCCTCCTCCTCCTCCTCCTCCTCCTCCTGGGCCCTGGGGCTCGAGGAAGAGGGATCGTCCGCTTGCCAGGGAGGGGGTCCAGCGCAGGTCCCGGAGACCCGCGCGGGCCCTCGGAGGTCTGTGCCGTCTCGCCTGCCTCCCGGGACGGCGCGGGGTCCCTGGCCGCGGCGCGCCCAGACGTCCGACGCCGTGCTTCTTCGCAGCGTGGCTCCACAGAGGCCTGGGCCCCCTCCCGGGGAACGGCTTTCCATCCCGAATCGGGGCTCGCGCAGCTCAAGAGGGGAAGGGACACCGATACCGCTGCCCTTCCCGCGTTTCCCCCCCTTTTTGGGGCCTCCTGGGGGGCCCCCGCCGCCACCGCTGGGTTCGCCTCGAGATCCTGGCCAGAACGCGCCCCAGGAGTGGTCCAGGGATAGCGGTATGGGTATACTTTTCGGCTTCCCCAGTGACGGAGGTCAGTGCTAACGAGGGTCGGCCAATCCCCTCTTGCTGACTCGGGTTTGGGAGCTATGCGGGGCCGATCCCCCCCTCTCCGCCCCTGATCCGGGTTCGGGACCTACGCAGCTGCCCTGGCCGACCCTGGTTTGTGCTGACCCGGGCCAGTGCGTCCCCGACCGAATCGCTTTCTGACAGCCCTGGGGCCCGTTATCGGGGATCGACGCTCGATCCATTCCTCTGCTGCAGCCCCCAACTGTGGCCGCCAGGAGAAGCAGGGCACGGATGGAGAATTTGGCCTCCAGAGGCCGGATTTTCGTCCATGCCCCCACTCCGCCCCTTCGTGGAGTTCAGGCGTGAGCAGCGGCAATTATGGACGAAACATCGATCGCCTATTGTAAGAGCACCCAGAGGCCGAAGATGGCCGAGATTTTTTTGCTCACGACGCGAGAATGTCCGAGCAGACCGGTTCGGAGGGTCGCGCCGCGTTGTAGGTGCATCGCCGATGCGGCTCGATCTGGAGCGCGAACTTCTCCACGCCGACGGCACCGATGCGGCGCGGTCCTCCGACCTCATCTGCTCGGAGCCCATCCAGGAGTCCTCTAGAGGCTGCTGGGGCGGGACGGCGTGTGCGTCATGCCAAGGCCCAGGGGGGTGGCACTGGCCAGGAGGCGGCGGCGGGGTGCAGGGGTGCCCTCCAGCGCCAGCGCTGCCCCGCGCGGCACGGCTGCAGCGGGTGCCATGAGCGCCCAGCTGGCCCCCGCGCTGCCCCTGTCGCCGCGCCTCCGTGCGCGCGCGTCCACGCTGCCGCTCGACCTCGGGAGCTCCCACGGGGCGTCCTGGCAGCGGCCGCCCGCGCACGGCTCGCGGGTGGCCGCGCTGGCGAGCGGGCTCCAGGCGCCGACCGGCGCGGCCCTCGGCGGCTCACGGGCCGTGTCTGGGTCACGTGATTCCAAACGGGACCCCCAGGGAGAGGGGCTTTTGAGGCGGGCGATGCCGATGTCTCGGGTCCGCTCGGCTTGGCCCGCAAGGTCGTCGCACGACCTTCTCGCTCGCACTTCGAAGTCTCCCGCGGTCTCAGAAGTCCCTTTCGCTACCGCCCCTCGAGGAAGCGCATCACTGGGGGCCAGGGCCGTCGAGAGACGACCTCGGGATGCAGGGGCCGGCCCCAGGGACGGGCTGGCGGCGCGCATTTGCGGGGGTTGGGCGGGGGCAGGGCGGCCTGCCGAGAAGGCAGGGGGGGGCCCTCGAGGGGGGATCCCGAGGCGTCTGGAAGAGAGGCTGGAGGAGGGGAGGGGGGACGAGGCTAGTGGTGGTGTGCCTCCCTGGCGCCTGCAGCGAGGAGGCTTCTCGCAGGGCGCGCGGGGGCCTCCCCAAAGGGTCCCGCGCCCTTCGTGGCGGCAGGGTGCCAGCTCCCCTCGCCCCGCCACCTCTTGCGGGTGCCGCGGAGCGGCAGCCCGCAGCGGGGCCCTTCGGCGGGGGATGTTTTCGTTGGTGGGCGGGGGGGACCAGCACCTGCAGGGAGCTTCGGAGCCGCATGCCTGGCGATGCGTTCCCTCTGGGATCGGATTCGTGGCTCTCTGGCCAGAAGGGTACCGGCATGCAGCACTGGGCTGCCGCAGGCAGCGTTCAGGACGATCGAAATGGGTACGGAAAAAATGGGCACAAAGACCGACAGCAGTTCCAGCTCATTCTGAACATGACTCGCTGTCGGTGCCGCCGTGGCCTGTGTCCATTTGCGACAGAAGGCCGCCCGCCCAACAGCGGCCGCTGTTGGTTTGGGACAACATTTGTTGTTGGGCATTGTGCCCATTTTTTCCGTATCCATTTCGGGCGTCCAGAAGCGTGCGCGATGCAAGTTTTTGGCATCCGCCGATTTTTTCACGCAGCCGATTTTGTGTCCTTGGGTCGATCCGTCAAGACACGTGAGCTCCAATGCGTGAGAGGGTGGGAGGGAGAGGGAGAGAGAGAGAGAGAGAGAGCGAGAGAGAGAGAGGGAGAAAGAGAGAGAGAGAGAGAGAGAGAGAGAGAGAGAGAGAGAGAGAGAGAGAGAGAAAGAGAGAGAGAGAGAGGGTGGGAGGGAGAGAGAGAGAGAGAGAGAGAGAGCGTCGTCCCCCCCCATTGGCAACGCGTGCACCGCGAAATCTTACAGCATGCCCTCCGTGGCGGGCGCTCCCTGGCCACGGCGCTCGGGAAGCGGCACCATAGTATCTGGCTGTATGGTATGTCCGGGTCGCACGCACGCCTCCGAGGAGGACGCGCAGTACTAGTATCAAGTCGGGCCTGTCCCCCTACAGGGGGAATATCTAGTACAAAAAATAGTATGGGGACTACTTGTGGAGTGTTTTTTTTACCATCTTGGAGTATTATTTGAGCCCTCTTTATCTCTCGTCGAGAGAGTCCTCCTGTAGGGGGACAGGCCCGACCTAGTACTAGTATGTCCCTCTTCGTCCCGAGAGAGAGAGAGAGAGAGAGAGAGAGAAAGAGAGAGAGAGATAGAGTGAGAGAGTGAGAGAGAGTGAGAGAGAGAGAGAGAGAGAATGAAAGAGAGGAGCACCCTGCCCTCCCGCGCGCCCGGCGTGCCTGCTCCCTCTTGGGCCGCTGGGGGGCACCTGCCCGCCGCCGCGGGCGGGCGTCGGCTCGGTCGGGAGGCGTGCAGGGGCCGAGCCCGAGAGGGTTCCGCCGTCGCCCTCCACGGGTCCCACAGCCGCAGGGCAGCGTGATGAGCTGACGCCAGGCTCGGCACCCTTTGTTCAGGGGGGGGGGAAAACATACATACACAAATGAATCGTCGATCCCCAGGAAAACGTATGGGAAAATACGGGAAGGGGGGGGGGGGAAGACAAACACCCCCAAAATATGGAAGATATGGGGAATATTTTTATTTGTGTGTATTTATTTGTGTGTCCTGGGGCACCTTTAAGCATGATGAGCTGATGTCGGGCAGCATGATGAACTTCAAGGGAGGAAAAATCACCCGGTTCCGGACATTTGGCGTTTACTAAGCGGCCTTGGGCGTTGACTAAACAGCCCTGCCCTGTTCGATTCCTTCCATGGGTGCGTTCACCAAACGGCTTTGCGTGTCGGGGTGCTTATCATGGGGGTGGATTTTTTGCTCTCTATGTCAGACTCGGCACCCTTTGTCTGTGACTGGAGCGCTGCTCCGAGGAGGCCAGGCCGAGCGCTGCGCGCCCGAGGGTTGCGAAAGAGGGCTCCAGGGGCCGGTCCTGGGCGGGTTTGGCTTGTTGCTGCTCGCCTGTCGTCGTGCGAGACATGACATCAGACATCAGGGCTGGACCTGAACGCTGCTTCGCTTGATTTTGGCTGTGCTTGGTTTTTCCGTTTTGGGAGGGTACAGGAAAACAGGTGGGGCAAAGCGAACAAGAAAACGACACCAAAACAAAGAACAACGTTCAGGTCCAGCCCTGCACGACATCCTGAAAGAAAGGTGCCCTCGGGCTTTTCGACGCTTGCGTCTCCATGGCGCCCTTCTCGGCTCAGGGGCCGTCGATGCACGACTCAGGATGAGAGGCTGGCCCCGGGAAAGCCCCAGGGGTCTGAGGACCCGTTTTCCTGAGCTTCTCTCTTCTGGTGGGCGTCCAGGAGTGAGGTGACGTTCAGGGGGCATATCATCGCTGGGGCCATGATGTCTCCACAGTTTCATGGCCCTCTTTCTTTTTTTTTGTTCTCCCCCCTGGTCCGCGCAGATGTCTCGAGCCATGATTTGCGACCCCCCCTCTCGGACGCACCCCTTCCGGACGCACCCGAGCTGTCCTTCGTGCCTATCTCGGGGCGCCTGTGAACAAGTGGGTGCCCTGCCGCGGCCACACGATCGACGCGGCTTCCCGAAAGCGAGAACGTGCGGGTGGCACGTTCTCGCTTTCGGCGTCCTCTTCCTTCCTCCCGTTGAGGCAATGACATTTGTGGCTCTCGTGCTCTTACAGGACAGCCGTCTGGCCGCCCATGGCCCGCCTGGTTCGCCCCCCTCCCTTCACAGCCGGGCTCCGCCACCAGCTAGGGCCATGTCCGCTGACTTGTGGGCCGCCGACCCCCCCCTACTCTCCTCTTGTCGCCTCACCGTTTCGGTCAGGCTTGCGGTGCTGGTGTGGACCAGTGCGTCCGATGCTCGTTCCGTCTGACATCTCATCATAGCTTGATCTTGGCTGCCTGCGCTCTTGCCGTTCTCACCGCGGCGGAAGTGTTGAATGTTTGGGCGGCGCGCACGAGGCGGCGGGGCGAAGGGTGCGGCCTTCGACGAGGATGCTTCTTAGAAGCCTCCGAGCTCTTTTGAGAGCCCCCTGCATTCCTAGAAGGCCGTGTGCTTCCCATCCACTTCGCATTTTTACAGGCCTGATTCGGAGCCTGCGAGCCTGCCGCGGTCGGCTGCTCGTCCCAGGAGGCTGAACCGTGCACTCCGCGCAGGCAACAACGTGAGCAGCTGGGCTTTTGGCCTTCTGTTCTGTTTAGCCTTCCAAACTGCCCTTAACCAGCCTTAAGCACACCCCATCCTTATGACATGCATCACCTCATTCTGGTGCCGACCTTCAGGACTCTCTCAGTTTGTAAGGGCGCCTCCCTCAGGAGGAGGAGGAGGAGGAGGAGGAGGAGGAGGAGGAGGAGGAGGAGGAGGAGGAGAGGAGGAGGAGGAGGAGGAGGAGGAGGAGGAGGAGGAGGAGGAGGAGGGAGGAGGAGGAGAGGAAGGAGGAGAGAGGGAGGAGAGGGTGGAGGATGAGGAGGAAGAGGAGGATGAGAGGTAGGAGGAGGAGGAGGAGGGAGGAGGAGGAGGAGGAGGAGGAGGAGGGGGGGATGATGATGATGATGATGCTGATGATGATATGATGATGATGATGATGGTGGTGGTGGTGGTGATGATGATGATGATGATGTGAGGAGGAGGAGGAGGAGGAGAGGAGGAGGGGAGGAGGAGGAGGGGGAGGGGTGGAGGAGGAGAGGAGGAGGAGGAGGAGGAGGAGGAGGTCGTCGCCCTGGGTGTGTCGGTCGCATGGACACGGATGAGAGCGAGGCTGGAGATGCGCCCGAGCCCAGGCCCCCGCCGCCACCAAGGTATAATCGTGATCCCGGGGTTCCAGAGCCAAACAGTGAGTACCGGGGGCGGTGGGGTGGGGTGGTGGGGACGCGGCCCCGCACCCCAAGGAGGGGGAGGAGGACGAGGACGAGGAGGAGGAGGAGGAGGAGGAGGAGGAGGAGGAGGAGGAGGTGGCGGAGGCGGAGGCGGAGGAAGAAGATGGCAGCAAGGCCCGTTTGCAGCGGCGTCGGCGATGTGGGTAGAGGTAGCAGTGGCTAGGATCAGTGACATCATCAGTTACGAGCGCAGGAGGAGGCGGAGGAAGAGAAGCAGGAGGAGGAGGAGCAGGAGGAGCCCTCAACCGCGCAGCGGAGCCCTCGGCCCCCATCCGTGTGCAGACTGTTCTCTCCCACCGGGCGGTCTACGGAGGTCTGAAGACCTGGAGCGGGGACCTGTGGGGCCAACGGTCAGGGGGGTGGTGTGGAGTGCGTCACGATCTGTTTCGCGGCGCCAGGCGTCGGCATCGTCGTCGCCAAAGTCGTCGTCGTCGCCGTCGTCGTCGTAGCAGGAGCCCTCAGGCGCTCCCAGACTGGCCCGAGACATCAAGCCGGGAACGCCCGCGGGTCTCCCAGAGCTCGGAACTTTTTAAACCCGAGTCGCTCATGGGCTCTGAAACATCCAACTCTTTGGTTTGGCCTTAGCTTCCTAGTCCTGGATCCTACATCGGGGACCCGCATCGAGACGCCGCTTTTGTTTACCAGGGTGCCTCGGGATGTCTCGTGGCCAAAGAGGCTTGCAAAAGAGAGCCCGAAGACCCTCCCAATCGTGAACCCATCGGTCGAAGCCCTTGGGTTTTCAGAGTCTGGGTTCC